CCCGCGGCCGGGGCGCTGCCTGCTGCAGCTCATCCTCTCCGGTGCTGCACATCTGGCCGTGCTGCTAGGGCTGGGATCAGGGATGGGCACGGGCAGAGCTGCACGGGGCCACTGTGCACCCTCCAGCTAGCTTCTGGCCCCGGGGTATGGAGAGCTGGGGGGGATGCTGAGGCTGCTCCCCACCCTGCAGCCCCTTCCCCGTGCAGCCCCAGGGCAGGGTTGGCAGAAGCACGGGCACAGCCCTGCCCCATACAGCTCAGCAGGCTGGGCTAATAGACAGGATATAGTTTATTGGGGGGGTTCTCTGGGAGAGGGGCTGGAAGACTGAGCAGGGTCCGACTCCAAACAGTGGGGTCAATACATTAAAAAACAGACCAGGAGGGGCCCTCCGCCCCCCTCCACCCCCCCCAGGGCCCCGGGGGAAACCTCCTCTGCCGGGGCTGGGGAAGGGGGGTCCCCGTCACCGAGGAGGGGGCAGGCGAAGCACACACGTCGCGGGCCAAACCAGCAGGCACATGGTACGGTATCGAGGCGACGGAGCAAGCGACCGGGTGGGGAGGGTGCCAGCGAAGGGGCGCTGCCCCGGGACTGCTTTCCCAGACAGGGTGCAAGAGGACGAGCCCCCCGCAGCCGGACAGCCAGGCTCCGTGCCTGCCCCATCGCCGGCCACCCCGGCAGGGCACAGCCGGTGCTTCCAGGGTGATTCGACATGGAGAGAAAGAGAGAGAAAGAGAGAGAGACAGGCAGAGGCCAGCTGGTCCTTCCGCCAAGGCTGCTCTGGCACGTTACGGGCAGGGGTTAAAGTGCATAGAGGCAAAGGCAGAGTCCAAGGACTAGAGGGAGGAGGGCACCATGGGGGGGCCCAGGCCAGCTCCCGACGGAGGGGTATCCCCCAAAAAAGGCCACTTGAGCTGCACAGAGAAGGAGCAAGAAAAACAGAGAGAGAGAAAGAAAGAAGGGGAGTCAGTAGGGGCTCAGCGAGCGGTGCAGGATGAACAGATACAGAGCCAGGGCGCAAGGGGCCGGGCAGCTGCATGGCAGCTTGCAGGATGCAGCCAGGCTTTTGGCACGGGGAGGGGGGAAACAGCATCCCAGGGCAGTGCTTTGGGGCTGCTGCCCACGGGCTTGGCCAGGCTGCGGCGGC